TATCCCCCTATACTTCCCAAGGTTTGGCTGCCCTTTGCCTTTCGGGACCAACACCACAACTGCCGTATTCGCTTATCCCCTAACGTACCCTTCTCCTTCATACAATTTAAAAATCTTACCATGAACTTCCAATCAACTCCAATGCTGCCAAAAAATTCCACCGGTAAACCATCAATACCCGGGGCCTTGCCCTTCCTCATTCCGTGTAAAGCAATTTCAATTTCCTCCTCAGTAATAACCCCACCAAAGCCTTCCTATCACTGTGACCCAAATGCACTTAGCATATGTGCACATCTTACTTAATTCCACTTCATCCACGCCACTACTAGTCCAGTGTTTTTTAACCACGTATCCGCATATGCACTCATAGTTTTGTGTTTCGTATCACTTGACCTGCTCTTTGGATTCCCATCGTCTCATTTACCTCCAAGCTCGGGATTGCCGTCAGCGCCTGCTTTTGCTTTTGTTGTCTCAACACACACGCGGATGGCCTGTCTCCCACAAAACTTCTTCTAATCCTGCTTGCACCCTCACCGCTTGAAACCGCTCATTATGCAACGTTCGCAAGCTCTCTTTTATGTCTACAATCTCGTCCATGGGGTAAACACCACCAACCGATCCCTGCCATAACAACCTCGTAATCGATCCTCTAAATAATTCGCTAGCCATATTTTAAAGTGTTTATACGCCTACCCTCCCTCACGTAAAAGGATTTTATCCTTTCCTTTGCCACGAGTCCCACACGTTACAATGTCTTCCACCTCCTGAGCTTCCCCTGAAAGCTCATTCCATAGCATAGAAAAACCCTCTAACCCTTCCTCATCACTTAACACACTAATATTTAATTTCCAATAATTCTTATAAATTTCCGCCATTCCCTCCCACCCTACCTCCACTACAATACCCTATGATCTGACAAGACCGTCTCCACCGTATTAAAAGACTTTACAACTCTCCCTGCGAAATATACACCTGTCTAACCTTGCAGCATATCCCCTTCTGATAAAAGTATGTTCTGTTTCCCACACCCCTCCCCCAAACACATCTCATAACTTAACATCCCTCAACAAATCTCTGAGAGGTGCAGACACATGCCCAGCCCTTTGGGTTCGACGTCAGCCGCCCTTATGACAACAGTTCCAGTCACCTCCCACTATCGCTACTTCCGGAAGACCACGCAAAAATAGACAAGGTCCTCACACACAAAATCCGTTCGAACCTTCGTGTCATTTTCCGCAGGGGCATAGACGCTTACCAAAGATACACGCTTTCCCATCCAAGTCCCATCCACTCGCAACACCCTCCCCCACCCCCCTCACATCTCTGCAACACAAATGGGCTCGTCTCTTTATTAAAAGACCCCCACCACCTTTCAAACGGATAGTTGGCAGGGTCAGTACTGTATAACCTGCAACCTGCAACACTTCTCCTTCTTTGAAATTGTGCTCTTGAAGGAACAGAACATCAATTCTATGTTTGCTAAGAAAACTGCTCAACCAAAACTCTCTTTAGTCTAGTACATAAACCGTTAACATTAGCAGTCATACACCTAAGGCCTGTTATATTTTCCACCCTTTCCTCTTCTCCTCCCATGGTTCACCACTTGATTTGTTATGTCTATGTGTCTTCTTTACAGTACCTTCCCATTCGCCTCCCTTCTTGCGATGGCGTCCCTCATGACCCCCCCCTCCCCCCACCCATCCTCTCAGTTTTTTTTCCAGTCCTCTGTGCCGGCGTCAGTACGTCATCCGAATCTGACGTAGCTGCCCGTTTCCTCGTAACGTTCTTATCCTCCATGTCAAGATCCGAGGAAGCCTCACGGTGTACCTCAACATCCACCTCACAATGAGGTATGAAGTCTCCGATGTCCCAGTCTCGTCGTCCTTCTGACGAGTCCATATTGTTGACAATCCGGACTCAAAAAGTCTCCAGCTACGTCTTCCGGAGACGGAGCTTCCACCACTTGCGGTGACAAGGTCCTTAAAACTTCGTCTAAATCCTCACCTATACTCAACACGTCATGCCGGGGTACCAATCCAGCAGATGGTATCGGCAACGACTCAGGTGCAGGGAGCTGAGGGGAGGACTCGCTCATTTCGAAAAGCCTGGTCCACCATCTCACTCCACAAACGACCACGCCCTTCCTCTGACGAACGATGCTCACCTTCATCACGTGTGACTGGGGCTACCTCTTCTTGCACAGGTTTGGTCACGCGTCTGTTCTTTTCGCATGCCGCCGCTATGTGGTCATACTCTCCACAAATGCGACACGTACGCCGCTGTCCAGGATATAAAACCATTACCTGTGTCCTAAAATCTTGAAGATACACATATGATGGTATGGGTTGACGCAACGTCATCTTAAGGCTGAATGTACCTTCCGGCATACCTGCGTAGGCACCCATTATCCACTTTACCCTGCTGGGCAGAGTGCACAGTTCCATATTTCTCAAAGACGTTTCTGATGTCAGCTTCATTCGCCTCGAAGGGGACATTCCGCAACTTTATCCAAGTATAATATCAAGACACGTCCACCAGTCTCACACGCACAGCAGGCGTAACGTCAAAACACACATCTTGAAAGCGCCTAACCACCGATTCATAAACTGTCGCAGCAAGCAGTTTCACAAATACTCTATGCGCTCCGTTCAGCGCTACCCCATACAATTCACCATCTTGTATGCCGTATGTCTCCCTGATTATCTTGGGTAAGAGTATTTGAGCTGAACTAGGTGTAATCGCACCTCGAAGTAGTTCAATACCAATAGTATTAACGCGTCTGCGATGACAAACTGCCATCTTAACACCAGTAATTTCCCAGCGGTGTCAACAGAGACACAACAACACCTCCTCGTACCACTGCTGTCAGGTTACTGACATTGGTTGGGGGGAGATTGGGGGAGGAGATGGGATGGACGGTTTGTGACAGAATTAGGGTGTGGTCTCTGGCATTAGTGTACATTTTACAATTCATACAACATATGTGTTACATCACCAAATAAGTATTAGGTTAGGTTAGGTAAGGTTCGTCAGAAAACAGGACAAGTTTTCTGACGCGGGTCTTAGATAATGTCACTAGCACGTTAAGAGACCATACAGTAAGTGTCAGGGGTCCGAGACTGTTCAACTGCCTCCCAGCATACATAAGGGGGATTACCAACAGACCCCTGGCAGTCTTCAAGCTGGCACTGGACAAGCACCTAAAGTCGGTTCCTGACCAGCCGGGCTGTGGCTCGTACGTTGGTTTGCGTGCAGCCAACAGTAACAGCCTGGTTGATCAGGCTCTGATCCACCAGGAGGCCTGGTCACAGACCGGGCCGCGGGGGCGTTGACCTCCGGAACTCTCTCCAGGTAAACTCCAGGTAATGACCCTCCGCTGGAGCTTTTGGTCATCTGACCGAGGCCTTCTGCTGTCTTACCGGTCCACCCCTTTAAAAATTATGGAATGGTTGTAACCATTTTTACCTCTAAGGTAGAAAAAAAAATAAGTATTGTGCAAATTGCTTTTTTGGGAGATAATAGCAATGAGTCGTGTCACGCGCCATGCAGAATGTAAACAAAAACGCATGTAGACCAATGTTATGTTACGTTAGATTGGGTTAGGTTGGGTTGGGTTGGGTTTAGTTAGATTAGGTTACGTTGCTCTTTTAACCATTTACAAGACAAAATATCTCAACTGTAAAACAAACCTAATACTGAAATTTTTAAACTATAATGGCGGAAATCATCCAGATCAGTCGTATTTTTTGTACATTATATATTATTGATAATAATAATAATAATAATAATAATAATAATAATAATAATATAGTGCAGAATTGCCTTTTTTTGTGTTTCATTAATTTCAGTACTGATTTTTTTTTTCAAACACTGATTTGATTAACGAATGGTGCCGACAAGTTTAAGAGTCGGAGAGTCATCATTCTGACAGAATCAAGATTTCTTCTACATACTGTTTCTCTGATATTGCTTCCGGTGTCCACGAGGAAGATGACCGGAAGACCGCTTCTTGTTCGACAAAATCGTTAGAAACTCTTAAAATGACTATTTCATATTTAACAAAGTATCTGAACACTTTCTAAGGAACTAGACCTGCATTCCAGTTCCTTGAATAGTCTGAATGCCTTCCATTCTTCAAGGCCCTGTATGACCCCAGCGGGATCAACATCCCTCCCATGAATGTACAATAATAATTTAAACACTTGCCTTTATTCCAATCTCCAGCTTTTCTCGTGTACCTTTTTATTACCTCGCAGATGATTTCAAACTTAAACCCGTAGCTCACAAATAACCCATACTAAAGAGAAGATACTTACGACGACGTTTCGGTCCGTCCTGGACCGAAACGTCCCAGGAAGTACCGAAACATAGTCGTAAGTTTCTTAAGTGTGGGCTGTGTGTGAATTGTTCCATCCACTGTATTGTGACATATGTTCAACAATTCCTAATATTTAACACCGAGCTGCTGGCTAATAAACCCTGCGAGGTTTTGGGTTACAAACAGACATTATAAGATAACTTTTAATGACAGCGTTTCGCTTGGTTTACAAGTTGTTCAGTAACACTACTAGGCAGTAAATTTCACATAAACATCTGTTGTTAAACCACCAATTTCCTATCTCCTTTCTAAATCCATTGTTTGCTGTCTTGGGCAGATATATTTCAACACTCTATCCATATCCTCTTTATTTATTCATATTCCCATTTATACATTTCGCCACATCTCCATTCATTAATTAAAACACTATTATTCACATTTAAAAAATCCTCATGTCATTCTTCCAGTCACCATGACCAAACTAGACTGTGTTAACTAAATAATCACTTTTGTAAGCTCTGATTTTAATGTCATCAAAGCTAATTAGGGCATGCCAGTGTTACATAAATATTTTAACTCAAGTTCTCGTTTGTGAAATCATTCTCAGTGCCCACTGAATTTCAAATTGTACCTAGTTTTCCACGTTAACATTCTAATGGTCCTGACCAAATTAATATTTCAGATCTATGAATCGCCAGAGATTAAGACTCGAGATTATGCAGTGGAAAATTATTTTAGTGTAGACAACAGCGTGGGAAAGAATCTCGTCTTCCGCCTTCAGACAGACAAAAAGGATCACATAAGAGAAGCACCTCGCCTGACAGACCCTTATGGCAATATTATTTATGCCAAAGATTATGATGATATCAGTTTCCTGTGGACCATCATTATTCCACTGGCAGACGTACGTGATGTGTCTTGCCTGTGTGCATGGTGTACGTGTGTTTGAATAAATGGTTTATTATTATTATAACCAAAAACAAGCGTTAATTCCTATAAATGGTTCAGAAAACCAGACCTACAGGTTGATAAATGAGACAACTGTGCAACATTTGGGTATCTTTATTTTGGAAGCGTCTGGCTAGCCAGTGACTTCAATCCAATTTATAACTCTCCTATTTGTTTCTAGGGATAATTCTTAGTTTTTCTCTTAACTCTTATCATCCTCTTATCTAAACTCCTGCGCTTAATCATATCTACTCTTGCAACTGCGCATTGTGTTTGTCTTCATTACATTTTCATCTAGTGCATGCCACTTTCCACCCCAAGACAAAAAAAAAAAAAATCTCCCTAACGTTCCTTAAGGCTGTCTTTGAAGTCCATCTCTCCCCCCGCCCCTTCCTCCCCATTTACAGCACCAGTCTCTGTGCACACCTTTGGATCCCTTCTAGTTTATATACTTGATCAGGTGTGGGCTCCAAGTTGGCGCTGCATACTCCAAGATGGGTTTAACGTACTTCGTGTATAACGTTCTAAACGAATCTTTGTTCAGTCTTCTGACATTTTTCACATTAGCTACTTTTGCTTATGCCACTTAAAGTATACGATTTATATGTACCTTTGGAAATTCGCTAAGGCAATTTTAGCCAAATTTAACCAGTTATATCGTACACTAACACCAGTCAATGACTTACGTGGTAGCACCGTCGGTTCACAACTGAAGGATCCTGGTTGGAATCTGAGACGAGTAGAAACTCTCGACATGTTTCCTTCCTCCTGTTGTTCCTTTTCACCCACCAGTAAGTGGGTACCCTAGTGTTTTGTTGATTGTAGAGTTAATTAGTGTTGTATGATCCTTACTTCTTTGTGAATATAGTACTAATCAATGTTAAGCGACTATTGTGGGTCGCATCCTGGAAGAGTACCAAATGATCCCAGTGGAAATAAATCACAATGACTGGCTTTTTATTGGGTTATCCTCTGGGATAATAATTGGAATACGCTCTTTATTCTTGATGTTGTTTAATTGCTTTATGATGCACCACATAGCCATCTTGTGGGTGTGAGTCAAAAGATTATACAGGCACATAATGTGTCAGAGGACTGAGCCCCAAAGTAGCCAAACAAATACGGTAGGACTGTAGACAGTGGACTTAGGTATTCCTCGTTCTCCTTACGTAAAGGCAAGAATATCTTCATACCCGAGCAGAAAACGGGGAACCACCAATAAAATGAGGCAACAAAAAATACAAAATAAGCATTCATATGTTAGTGATACAATCACTACCCGTAATCTTGAGGCGTAGTAAAAACGTTTGTCAGAGGAACTGTTATATCCTGTATCATTCTTTGCTGGAACACTTCAAAATTCATGAATTAAGAGACATTGTAATGTTCTGTGACAGAATTCATGATCGTGTAGACTCATTACTATTGTTCTATATTCAATAAAATTTGAAAATAGTTATTTACCACTGTAACATACCTAGGAAACATGTGGCGCTCAGTTCCTGGGCAAATTATGCTCCTCTGTAATCTTTTGACTGTCGCCAAGATGCGTATTGGGGTGCCAAACAAAGATATCAGACTGACATGGGAAAATGGGTCACGGTAATAGCAAGTTGTGATCTCCAGATGCTTTTACATATTTTTCTCTAATGGTGTGGGATTTTTTGAATCCCCGTATGTTAGAATATTCTAGAGATAGTGCAGTAATAACCTTCACCTCTGTTTAGTCTACGTGACCCAGTGGTCTGTGTGACCATTAACTCCCCTCCCCTCCCTGGCACGTGGAGGGAGGGTACAAACGTTCTTTCCCACCATACTATAGTGCCAATTACTACACCTGCCTGCCTGGCAGGTGGCACTTGCAACATGAGAAATGAGATCCACTTGTTACTAGCTCTCAGAATACTAATGAGTTTTATGAATGTCATATTAACTGACGTTCAAGAGTGCCCTGGGGCAGTTACCAGGGCTGGTAACAGTGCCCCAAAGGGAAAAAGCCGGCCTGTGTAGGTCAGGCTGTTTTAAATGCCTGGAGGACTCTGTCTTTTGTGAAGATCCATAGTGGACAGAACAATGGGCATTCGTGATTCGTTGATTAGGGATCCTGATTTAGTATTGCTCCCTAACGTATGGAGAGAGTATGCGGCACCTTCAGGTAGCAGATAAACCTCTGTTTATGTGTTCCAAGCCTCTCCGGGTCACTGAATTAAGTACCAAGACTAATTTAAGTATTCAACAGACTTTCTGGACTTAAGCCGGAATCCACACGCTAAGAGTGGGCTTAATTTCGAGGACATTACCTGCACAAGTGCTGAGTGTCGACTATAAGGACTGATGACATTTAAATATGGTGACATCTCATCATTATGTAGGACATAAGTTAATGGGTTTCCTGCCTTGACCTCAACATGACCCCAAGACACCAGATCTTCAGGTATAAGTAACACTTGAGCAGGCAGGTAAAAAACCATTTCTCTCCTTATCTCTATTCAGCGACTAGTCTGCTGGACGTTTAGCTTGGTAATGAACAAAGAACCAGGTGTCAGCAAGGACCTCACATTAGCATTAGTCTGGTAAGCATATAGTATCCAGAGTACTTGTTTTACTTACAGTCCCCTGTAGAGGAAAGTGTTCATCAGATCCTTGACAGGGCTTGTAATGAGACTGATAGGCTTCGGGTGACTAGAATGAAACTAATTATTAATAAGTCCAGTATACCTACACATAGCCCACCACAAATGAGGTTTCCCATGTTTTCACAACAATTGTTAGAACAAGTCTGAAGTTTAATGTGTATATATGGTTACCTATTTGTAGTAAACAACAAAAAAGCTTTGCTCAGGGTGTCTCGTCTTTGCAGTTTATATACATTATATATAATGTATATATATGTATATATATATATATATATATATATATATATATATATATATATATATATATATATATATATATATATCCATGTGGAAGTGGAACAGAATTCTTTCCTCCGTAAGCCATGCGTGTCGTAAGAGGCGACTAAAAATGCCAGGAGCAAGGGGCTAGTAACCCCTTCTCTGTATATATTACTAAATTTGAAAGGAGAAGCTTTTGTTTTTCCTTTTGGGCCACCCGCCTTGGTGGGATGCGGCTGGTACGTTGAAAGATAATATATATTATTATATATATATATTATATATATATATATATATATATATATATATGTCGTGCTGAATATGTAAAACTGGTCAATTAGCAGAACTCATTTAAGATTAAGTCCTTTCTGAAATTTTCTCTTATACGTTTAAAGATATATTTTTTTTCATTAATGTTAACGTAAAAAAAATTTAATTTTGCACCAGAAGAATCTTAGAAAACTTACCTAACCTTATTATAACAAGATCAATTTATTTTAGCCTAACCCAACTAAATATATTTTAGATTTGTTTATAGTAATTTAATACTAAACAAACACAGTGAAATATATTTTTTTCGTTAGGTTCAAAATGATTTTGGCGGAAATTATTGCATACACAAATTTTCACTTGTCCTATATGGCAAGATGAGCATTGCTATTTAAACCAAGATCGCAAGTTCTGCCTATTCGGCACGACATTTATATATATAATATATATATATATATATAATATATATATATATATATAATATATATATATATATAATAATATATAATATATATAATATATATATATAAAATATATATATAATATATATATATATATATATATATATATATATATATATATATATATACACAGCAGGGCCCCACTTATACGGCAGGTTAGGTTCCAGGCTACCGCCGTAAAGTGGAACACCCTTTTTTTCCACTTATAAATGCATACAAACACTAGATAACAAGTTTACACTAACATATATTAAGTTAGCAATAGAACCAGGCATCAAAAAACAATAAAAAAGTACAATACACACATAGTACACTCATTACTTACCTTAAAATATTTATAGTCTTAATCTAGGGTGAGACAAGTAGTATTTATTGTAAGAAATCAAGTGTGGTATGTATGGCAATCAGCCAGGCTACCTTACCAGGCCACCCCACCCACACATACTATTCTATGATATTTAAGCATCCCAGAGCGATAAAAAGTATATACAGTTCCATCATTACTTACCTTAAAATATAGGGTGAGATGAGTAGTATTATATTGTTAAAAAATCAAGTGTGGTATGTATGGTAGTCAGCTAGGCTACCATACCAGGCCAACCCACCCACACATATATTCTATGATATTTAAGCATCCCAGAGCGATAAATGTATATACAGTTCACTCATTACTTACCTTAAAATATTTGTAGTCTTAATGTAGGGTCAGGAGTAAGTAAATGAGATAAAACGAATAAATGAGAGAGAGAAAGAATGAGTACATGAGAGGGGACAGGCGCAGAGTTATGTAAACAAACCAGGCGAAGGTAAGTTTTGTAAACAAAGTGTACACGTCTGGTTTGTGTACAAGTTACATTGTGTACAGTTGTCTCTACATTGATACGTAGAAATTAATAAAGAAGAACACCCCATTCTCATGTAACAACCATTTTTGAGAAGAAATGAAGCTCTGAGTGAAAGGCATGGAAATAAGTTCAACACTGACTTATTTGGGTTATCCTAGTTCTCTACACAAATGTTTGTTTATGTATGAATAATCTATGTAACTGTATTTGGTATACTGAATAAACTACATACATACGAAAGGATAAAATTTCTACAGTTACCCCCAGTAACACATTTTCTCTTATGTTAGATAGAGAAAATGTAATTCTTGCCCCGTCACTTGTTTACAAGTTATCTGGCCTCCCACATCTTATATTTATGTTTATTTTATTCTATTGTGGGGGTATTTAGCATCCTTTTTTGTTTATGTAATCGTGTTTTATTATATAATTTTGAAAAAAAATCATGGATGATTAATAAAATGTGTATAATTAACGTAATATACGACATTTAATGAGACTCGGTGAGTATTGTTATTATCTTCCTAAATGATGGTTCAGAGACCGACATGGTTGAATAGATTAGACACATGTGCAACTCTTGGGTATCTTTGTTGAGGAAACGTTTCGCCACACAGTGGCTTCATCAGTCCATACATAGGAGAAACTTGAAGAACAGGAGGAGAATGAGGTAATCATCCCTTCAACCTTGAGTCGATGTGTTCAGTCCATCAATCTTGAGTATTTCTACTCAAGATTTGATGGACTGAACACATCGACTCAAGGTTGAGGGACTGATACCTCATTCTCCTCCTGTTCTTTCAAGTTTCTCCTATGTATGGACTGATGAAGCCAATGTGTGGCGAAACGTTATCCTCAACAAAGATACCCAAGATTCACATGGTGTCTAATTTTATCATCAATATTATTTCTATATGGTCGTCACTTGTGCAAGGCGTCTACTACCACATCTCACATTTATGTTTATTATTTCTACTGTGGGTTATTTATCTTATTTATAAGTTATGCATCGTGTTTTATTATATAAGGTGGGGGGGGGGGGGGGGGGGGGGATATAAAATAGCATGATGGATTAATGTAAATGTGTAATATTAACCTAATATAAGACACTTAAATGACCTCGAATGGATTATCATTACTAAATTTGACGTCTGGAACATAAGACACTTACCGATTTAATGTTACCTGCATGCCAGCCCAGTATGTAAGTTCCATTTAGGGTACAGGTATAACATAAGTATAATTATTAGAGTATATATAAAAATGAAATAACTTATAAAAACATTTGAAATTTTGTGAAGTTTCCAGACAAAAATGGAGAGACTTAGTGCTTACTGAAGCTCAACGAAGAATGTAAACAAACAGGGTGGGGCGCGGTGACCGTATTAGAAAGTCAGGTGGGGAACCGTATAGCGAGTTTTGTCATATTTTGAAATGACCGTATTAGAGCGGAAATGCCGTAAATAAACGCCGTAAAGCAGGCCCTACTGTATATATTATATATATATATAATACAACACCCACACACACACGTCCGTGGCTGAATAGGTAAACTGTCAATTAGCAAAAACGTCGTTTAAAATTAATTCCTTCTAAAATTTTCTCTTATACGTTTAAAATAATTTTTTTCATTTATGTTAATGTAATAATTAATATTTTTAGTACCAAAGAGACCTTAGAAAACTTACCTAACCTTATATAACAAGCGCAATTTAAATTTACCTAATCCCACCAACAAATATAATTAATATAAGTATTACAATAACTTTTATAATAAACAAACACAATGAAAATATTATTTGTTTGTTAGGTATCAGAATGATTTTGAGAAATACTTTACTGCATATGCAAATTTTTTGCTTGCCTTATTCGGCAAGAAATAGTGTTGCTATTTAAGCTAAAATAGCAAGTTTTTACGCTATTTGGCACATTAATATATATATATTATATATATATATATATATAGTATATTATATATATATATATATATATACAGTAATACATATTATAGGAAGTAGTTGGAAGGACAGCAACCGCCAGGGAGGTACTACCGACCTGCCAAGTGAAGTGTAGAAACAGATGCACTGTAATTGTTTTAACACTTTGGTTAGGCTTGCTGGTGTCTTTCTTTTTTCTGTCTCATACACATCCAAGTTTCAGGTACGTCTTGCTACTTCTACTTACACTTAGGCACACTACACATACCGTACAAGCATAAATATATACACACCCCTCTGGGTTTTCTCTATTTTCTTTCTAGTTTTTGTTCTTGTTATTTCCATCATACCTCCATGGGAAGTGAACAGAATTCTTCCTCCGTAGACAATGCGTGTTTGTAAGAGGCCTCAGCACACACTGTTTACAAGCCAGCCAGTGCAAGTGTCCATCCACGCATACATTCGGTACATTTTATACCTTATCCCAAGTGTTTTTTGTGCTTGTAACAGGCAAAATAAGTTACATGGCCCCAAGAAAGCTTCTAGTGCCAACCCTGTGGTAAAAAGGGTGAAATTAGTATGGAAATTAAAGAAGATATTGAAGGGTTTGGGGCTACTCTGAGAAAGCCTATGCCAGTTGTGATCCATTGTGCCTACTTTCAAAGATTAAGGAAATGTGTGCAAAGTGGGTTTGAAGTGCAAACTTTATGGATGAGAATCACCCTAACGGGAGGAACAGACCTCTATGGACATATATGTTTGTGTGACAGAGGTCCAGTGACTCTCAAGCCTGGTCCTAGTGGCATTAAAAGAAGGAAGTAACCCCGGAAAAGGACCTTGCAACATCAAGACCTAATGGAAGGGGATTTCCCTTTCTAAATATAACTTCCAACACTCTCCCCTCCTCCCATCCATCAATCATCACCAGATCTTCAATAAAGGTAATGACATGTATTCCTATTCTTAGTAGATAGTAATTGAGCATATCTTCTTCTTTGTGTGTATTAAAATTATAGTTCATGTTAAATTTTTTTTTTTTTCATACTTTGGGAATCTTGCCACGGATTAATTTGATTTCCATTATTCTTATGGGGAAAATTAATTCGCCTTACGATAAATTTCTTCTTATGATGAACTCTCATGAACTGATTAATATCGTAAGGCGGGGGTCCACTGTAATTAGTGTTGTACCTACTACTTTACACTTGTAATCCATTTAATTTTTTCACTTTATGAAAATAATTAATACCTTCTCAAATGTAGGTTTTTCCTTTTTTCTAATTTGCCACTGTGCCTTCTTATTCTGTGTGTGTATGTGTAACATCATACATGTACTCACGAGCTGTACTCACCTAGTTGAGTTCAGGGGTCGAGTCCTAGCTCCTGGCCCTGCCTCATCACTGGTCGATAACTAGGCACTCTCCTGAACCTGTGAGCTTATCATACCTCTTCTAAAGCTATTATTGATCCTGCCATCCACTACATCGCTTTCTCAACTATTCCACTTCTGACAACTCTGTAGCTGAAGAAATACTTCCTAACATCCCTGTGATTCATCTGTGTTTTCAACTTCCCACTGTGTCTCTTTGTTGTTGTGTCCCATCTCTGGAACCTCCTTTCTTTGTCCACCTTGACAATTCCTCTCAGTATTTGTATGTTGTAATCTTGTCCCCCCTATCTCGCGTGTCCTCTCAGTGTCGTCGGTCGATTCCCTTAACCTCGTCTTCGTAGGACATACGCCCTTAAGCTCTGGGCTGTTTCACATGGGCGTGCATGTGGGTAAGATGAATGGAAGAGTATGACAACTGCCAACATTATTTATAATCCTATGTTACCAAAAGGTTGGAATGTGGAGTGGGAAGTCAAGTAGACGGAGATGCTTCAAGAATGTGAAGTGTCCTGTCACTAAGCCCGTCAACGAGACGCCTATAATCCCTCCCCTCAACCAACCAGAGTCTGGGTAAGAAATAAACCATAGATGAAATTAACACTGACTCATCTTCCTGTGGATAACTAATTTGAAATATAATTAATACTAGAGAAACTGATATTCATGATTGAAATTAAAAGGGAAGTTGAGAGGTTTAAAAAGCTCTTTGACCCAAAAAATTATTCTGCAAATCTTTTTAATGAAAAGTAAAACGTGACCACACCGAAGAAAACCCAAGATAAAACTATCCAACAAAATATAACTTTTCCCTGCAAGCACAGTACAAATAATTACTATCAATATCAAAAATAATCCACCTAACAGAACTTAAAAGAACTTTTAAATTATTTACATTGAAAGGCCCCTAAAATTTCCTCGAGGCCTTCTAGAGGTAACCATGGTTAATTATGAGCCAGTGTGACATAATGTCATCTATTAGACTAAAAGCTGACCATTGCTCATAACCTAAAGAACTGGGGTTCTCTTAACGAACTAGGTGAAGTTTGGGAATCTCCAGATGTTCCTGCTCACATCGTATTGGGTAACTGGGTGCTAGGAGACTGTTGTGGATCGCATTCCTCGAGACAATAGTAATTTAGCATCAGGATGAGGTTAACCATAGAACTGATGAAGGAAAAAAGTTGAGTGGTGCATGAAGGTATAAGTGGAGACAAAACATTACTATGGAGGCCAAAGGGAATTACAAAAGTATAGTAAGTATCACCACACTCCTTTATATGGGTGTGAAGCTTGGGATGTAAATGCTGTAAGCGAAGAGGCGGCTGTAGGCAGTGAGAATTTGTTCCTAAGGCAATGTGGTGGGTGTAAATATTATGCAGAGAAATTCCGGGCTGAAAGAGGGGTTGAGGTGGTTTGGTCATTTACAGATATGGAACAAGTAGAATTACTTGGAGAGCGCAATAATCTTGTAGAGAAGAAGTGCAGTGTAGGGGTCGTCCTGGAAAGCTGGAGGGGGTGGGGGTAAAAGAGGTTTTTTTGTGCAAGGGGCCTGGACATGCAGCAGGCATGTGTGAGCGTGTAGAGAGGAGTGAATGGACACGAATGTTTTTGGGACTTGCCGAGCGTTGGAGTGTGAGTAGGGTGTGTGTGGAATATTTTTTGTGAAGAGATTCAGGGAAACCGGTTTAGCCAGGCTTGAGTCTTGAAAAATGGGAAGTAAGATGCCTGCACTTTAAAGGAGGGTTTGGAATATTGGCAGTTTGGAGGGACATTTAAATTGTCGTATCTGAGCGCCTCTGCTAAAGACAATGAAGATGTACAGTGTATGATGGATGTAATAAAAATAATAAAATAATAATAATAATAATAATGATAATAATAATAATAACTTTATTTCTACAAGTACATGTACAAGTATAAGTCCTAGCTGACATCAATGACAATACGATATAGAAAGCTTCTTTTATGCAGAGCAATTCGGGCAATAGGTCAGTTTTTGGCACAGGATCGACCCACAGCCACTCGACTATCACCCAGGTACCCATTTTACTGTGGGGAACATAAACGGTGTAAAGAAAACACTCCCAAATTATTTTACACTCGCCGGAATCGAACCCAGACTCTCGCCGTGGTGAAGCGAGAGCATAACCAACCAGGCCTCGAACCCCTGTATGTTGAAAGTGTTGAAACGACTGAAAGTTCTTTCTTTCGTTTACGGTTTTTCCTTCTTTTTTTTGGGTCACCCTGCCTCGTGGGAAAATGCCCGACGTGTTAAAAAAATATTCTTCATAAATTAAATATAATAATAATAATAATAATACTTTATTTACTACAAGTACATGTACAAGGTATACAGACCTAAGCTGACAACAATGACATTCACTATATAGAAAGTCCCTTATTATCTCCGAATTTCGGGCAAATTAGGTCAGTGTCCCAGATGCAGCCCACACAAGTCGACTAACACCCAGGTACCCATTTTTAACTGATGGGGAACATAGACAACAAGGTGGGAAAGAAACACGTCCAATGCGTTTTCTACTCTGGCTGGGAATTGAATCCCCAGGCTCCTGCCCCGTGTGAAGAGAAGAGCGTTTAACCACCAGGTACCACTCTAAACTGTTCCTGGGGACCCACATCTTCAGGAGAACAGAATAAACTTGCTTCAGAGAAAACTCAAGTTCTCTCCTGAAGCTGTTGAAATTTTCTCCTACCACCGCCCTCTAATATTCCATCTATGTTTTTATTTAAACAAAAACACATTGACTAGATACATTGACAAAAGTACGATAGGGGAATAAAACAACATAGATAACAACCCAGAGCTACAGCTCGAATACTTCGTCCCAGCACCCCGGCAGTGGCCGCGTGCCCAGAATGCCTGCAAGCATTTCCTCTCTGAGATCGCACAATGATCTCTGAAAGAGGAAGCTTGGCTGCCCTGTGGTCCTTGGTTTCTATGATGAGTTTCATACACCACTATACGCTATCTTTGAGGAACTTTACAGCACAGCATTGCCCCATGCTCCAAGTCTCCGACCCTATTGGGATGAAGTTAAGCAAGGTGGTAGGCTTCCTATTTGGCGGGTACTTCTAGGGTCTCCCTGTGGCTGGCAGCTCAACCCTCTTCAGCTTACGAGTATGGCAAGTAGGTGTCCCTGCCAATGTTGCGCACAGGTGCAGTCCCAGCAATCTGCTTTCCATCCTCAGGGTAGCATAGTGGCTCCCATCAGTGACACATTTGACTTCAGTCAGGACCTTCTGCACTTAGGGGTTTCCCCGTTTGAGCTGGGCAATGGGCTGTGGCGAGGCTGCTCTTTAGATGTCCACTGACCTCCTCATGTCAGGTGTACTTCCCTCTGATGTATGACACACGAGGACCCATGAAGTCCAAGATTGGATCAGCCGTCCGCCCTGCTGCAGATACACCTATGTTTGTGAGGATGGGGCGGCTAGCGAAGAGCAACACCAATCGAATGGCCTGTGGTGTCGAGTGGAGTGGCCCAGGGAGGAATTGGACCAGCTAGAATGAAATCTGAATGTGGAACCTTCACCGTCTAGGAACGAGCTTTGTCCCCTTTCCGCTGAAGCGGTGGTGAGCATTGTGTTTGGCGTTTTGTATAGATCGTTTTTGGTCCCAGTGTGACTGTGCTCTTGGGGGAGCTTGGTCTACTGGAGGATTCTGCAGAGGGTGTCCCAACCGCATGAATCTTTGCAAATTGTTTACTATAGTTAGTCATGTCATGCAAGACAGCACAATCATTTCAACCTCAGTGATGACAAACAGGTGATAACACTACAGTACGTAATGTCTGTCTTGCTTAATATATAGAAAATGCTGAGATAATATCAATATCCTTTACCATTTAGTCTTCCTTCCAGTTACCTCACCACCGACGGAGTCAGTGCACTCAATCCCAAAATAAAAATCTTTGCTGAAGTGAAACAAAGGAAATAACCCAATCCCATATAACGCACACGTCAGGTAAGAATATGTTCTTTAATTTCGCTAATATGCAAAGAATCTAGTTTGGTAGTGGAAAGTCTATATAAAGGTGGCTGTACAACCACTTAGAAGCAAGATATATACAAAGAGAGGGTGTATGCAAGCATATATGCGAGAGTTTAAACTCTCAATTTTAGAATTAATGTACTCGTGTGTAATGAAAAAAGATTACGCAAGAACCTTAATGATCACATATAAAGCGACAGGCTTTAAGCCCCAATTAACCACAAACCAGTTGAGGGCCTACCTAACAGATTACATTTTGGCTTAAATAGCAATGCTCTTCTGCCGTATTAAAGCAAGTTGAAAAAATGTGTATGCAATAATTTCGCAAAAATCGTTCTGAACCTAACGAAAAAAATATATTTAACTGTGTTTCTTTATTAAATTATTGTAACTTTATCTTAAAATATATTTAGTTATAGTCCTATATTAAAGTGCGTGTGGAAAATTTTGATTTCCCGAAAGCTGTGGCGCCTGTAGGTGTTGTGTGTCCTATGTGAGTCAAAAAATGTATATTGACATAGGTAGCAACCAAGAGATCCCTTAGCGCATGCGCGGATGTGGCGGGGGTTTGGGGGCGACTCGGGACCATGGGGGGGGCGGGGAGTGTTTTGAATTGGTGAGGAGGCCTGGTAAAGCATGGAACCCCGAAATGGGGCTTTCACGGCGGCCTAAAGATTAATAATAGGCCTCATTTCATAATAGAAGTGTCGTAACTGTTTCCTGGTGAAGGTTGGGTAGTGAGGAACGTGATTTACGGGACCAACGTAAAAGGGTGATAAAATTAGTGAATAATGGTTTTGACGGGTGTGACTGGTGCACGGCCATGGTGTGTGCCAGTGGAAATACCCGGTGTTAATCCTCGCTCATCGGCCTCAGATCTTAATGGAGTGACCTCTAATTGTGTATAATAATATGAGAGGTTAAATCGCTTGTGAATGTTAATGTAAATCAGTGATAATAACATTGACGTTTTTAAGAGAATGCGGGATTGTGAAATAGAACGCCCGCCCCAGTGAATGTGTTGGATTCTCCGTACCGAGGATAGGGAAAGCTTTAATGGAAGCACGACCGTTCTAAACCCGACAAACCGACGGGTACCTCGTCTTGCTGGAATAGAACCGTGTTGGAGTAGCAGAACAACGAAATGAGTGGTGAAATGGAGGAAATAAGGAGTATCAATCACCCACATTAATAACCCTTCTTCAGTTATAGCAGACTGATACTGGCCAGTTAGTTATGTTTGTAATTGAAAGTTTATGATGATCCAGCTACATCAAGTGACCACCAGATAATATCTGGTAAGTGGATAGATTAATGAACAATGGTTTTTCCTTGATGGATAAATCTCCATGTGTTAACCTAACCCCCCCCTCATTCAGTTACACTAATATAATCTAACAGACGACAATTAATTAGTACACCGGTACTTGTGGGTGCTATCCCAATCCATACTGGTCTCTCGATAGAAATGAATAAGATTGTGAGGTCGAAGGGACCACTGCCGTGACCAGGGGTGGTTAAGTTTCTCACATGTCTACACGGGGTGACTACGTAAACAATATGGTATGTCTCCCACTGAGATTACTGGTTATGATTTAATGTTGAGGTACCATCCAGGTAAGCACCCTATAAAAATTTTCCATAGTGCCTTATTATAAGGTTTAGGTAAATTTTTCTAAGATCCATTGTTACAAAATATTATTTTACAATACAAAAATAAAAAAATATATCTTTAAACGTATAAGAGAAAATTTTGGAAAGGATATAATTTTTAAATGAATTCTTTGCTAATTGACCAATTTAACCTATTCAGCACGATATATATATATATATATAAATATATATATATATATATATATATATATATATTATATATATATATAAAATTATATAATATATAATATATAAAATATATAAAAGTTTACCAAAAGCGTAAAGAGTTTTTATGAGGGGTGTGAGGCTCAGGTTAGGGAGTGTAGAAGAGAGGAGACTACTTCCCCGGTAAAAAGTAGGTCTTAGACAGGGATGTGTAATGTTCAACATGATTGTTTACTATATTTATAGATGGGGGTTTAAAGGAAGTAAATGCAGGGTGTTTCCGGGAGAGGGTGGGATAAAATTATGGGGAATCAAATACAAAAATGAGAATTGACACAGTTGGTTTTTGCTGATGAAAACTGGTGACTTATGGGTGATCCAAAAGAAAAATTGCAAAGTTTGGTGGACGAGTTTGGGAGTGTGTGTCAAGGTAGAAAGTTGAAAGTGAACATAGAAAAAGTTAAGGTGATTGAGGTATCAATGATTTAGATCAAGAAGAAGAAAAAATTGGATTCAAATTGGGAGGGAGGAGTATGAAGAAAGAGAATGTTTTCAAATACTCCGGAGTTGACGTGTCCGCGGATGATTTATGAAGGATGAGGTTAATCATAGAATTGATGAGGGAAAATAAGGTGAGTGGTGCCTTGCGGTTATATGTGAGGCAAAAAAAAAAAACGTTAATCTAGGAGGCAAAGAAAGGGAATGTATAAAATATAGTAGTACCGCACTCTTATATGGGTGTGAAGCTTGGGTGGTAAATGCTGCAGCGAGGAGACGGTTTTGGAGCAGTGGAGATGTCCTGTCTAAAGGGCAATGTGTGGTGTAAATAGTAATGCAGAAAATTCGGAGTGTGGAAAATTAGGAGAAGGTGTGGGGAGTTAATAAAAGTATTAGTCAGAGAGGGCTGAAGAGGGGATGTTGAGGTGGTTTGGTCATTTTAGAGAGAATGGAATCAAAGAAAAATGACATGGAGAGCCTTAAAATCTTAGGAAAGGAAGGTCAGGGTAGGGTCTCCTCGAAAAGAGTTTGGAAGGAAGAGGTAAGGGAGGTTTTGTGGGCGAGGGGCTTGACATACCACAGGCGTGCGTGAGCGATTCAATAGGGTGAATGGAGATGAATGGTATTAGGGACCTGTTGACATCTGTGGAGTGTGAGCAGAGTAATATTTAGTGAAGGGAATCAGGAAAACCGGTTATTTTCTATAGTCGTACTTGAGTCCTTGAAATGGGAAAGTACAATGCCTGCACTCAAAAGGAGGGGTTCGCGATATTGGCAGTTTAGAGATAGCGATGTGTTGTGTATCTTTATACGTATAATGCTTCAACTGTTGTGCTCTGATCACCTCTGCAAAAACAGTGATTATGTGTGAGTGTGTGAGTGTTTTAAATGATGGATGAAACTAATTTTCTTTTTGGGGATTTTCTTTTTCTTTTTTGGGGCCACCCCTGCCTCGGTGGGAGACGGCCGACTTGTTTATATATATATATAAATATATATATATATATATATAATATATAAATATATATATTATATATATATATATATATATATATATATAATATATATATATTATAATATATATAAATATATATATAAATATATATATATTATATATAATATATATATATATTATATATATATATATATACCTGGAGTTTACCTGAGAGAGTTCCGGGTCAACGCCCCCGCGGCCGGTCCTGAGACCAGGCCTCCTGGTGGATCAGAGCCTGATCAGCCAGGCTGTTGCGCTGAGCTGCACGCAAACCAACACACGAGCACAGCCCGGGCTGATCGGAACTGACTTTAGTGCCTTGTCCAGTGCCACTTGAAGACTGCCAGGGGTCTGTTTGGTAATCCCAGATTAGTGTGCTGGGAGGCAGTTGAACATTCTCGGGCCCTCCCTGACCAGCTTATTGTATGGTCTCTTAAACGTGCTAGTGACCCCCTGCTTTTCATTGGGTGGATGGTGCATCGTCTGCCAAGTCTTTTGCATACGTATGGGTGAAATTTCGTGGCAAAGTACGGTACTAGATCCTCAGATTTTCCAGTGTATATAATCAGTATCTCTCCTCCTGCTTCCAGGGAATACAGGTTTTTAGGAACCTCAACGCTCCCAATAATAGAGGTGTTTATCCGCGTTATGCGCGCCGTGAAAAGTCTCTCTGTACATTTTCTAGGTCGTCAATTTCACCTGCTGGAAAGGTGCAGTTAGTGTGCAGCAATTCCAGCCAAGATAGAACAAGTGGACCGAAGTGTGTCATCATGGGCTTGCCGCCCTAGTTTTTGAAGTTCTCATTATCCATCCTTTCAATTTTTTCTAGCAGATGCATTGATACAGTGTTATGGTCCCCTTGAGGTGAGATCCTCCGACATGAATCACTCCCAGGTCTTTTGACGTTGGTCTTTCGCTCTATTTTGTGGCCAGAATTTGTTTTGTATACTCTGATAAGATTTAATTTCCTCATGTTTACATATCTGAGTAATTGGAAAATTTCTACGTTGAACTTCATATGGATTTTCTGCGAGCCCCACTGTGAAAGATTTGGTTGATGTCTGCCTGGAAGCTTTGCAATGTCTGCAATGGAAGACACGTCATGCAGATTCGGATGTCCATCTGCAAAGGAAGACACGGTGCTGTGGCTGACATCCTGTCTATGCGGATATAAGATGAGGAACAAGATGGGAGCAGTACTGGCCTTGTGGAACAGAGCTTTTCAACCGTAGCTGCTGCCTCGGACCTTTACTCTGTTGACGACTACTCTCTGTGTTCTGTTAGTGATGAAATTATAGATCCATCGACCGACTTTTCCTGTTATACTTTAGCACGCATTTTAGTGCGCTTATTACGCCATGGTCACACCTGTCGAAAGGCTTTGCAAAGTCTGTATAATATTACAATCTGGCATTCCTTTTTTGTCTTCTAGTGCATTTATGACTTGTCGAAGTGGTCCAAAAGTTGAGACAGACAGGAGCTAACCTGTTCTAAACCCATGTTGCCCGGGTTTTGTTAACTGATGGGTTTCTAGAGCGTTGACCCCTTGCTTCTTAGGACCCTTTCAAAGATTTTTAGATAGGGATGTTAGTGCTTTTGGGTCTGTAGTTCTTTGCTGTTGTTTTTCTCCCCCCTTTGTGGAGTGGGGCATTCTGTTGTTTTTAGTAACTGTGGGACCCCCCCTGTCCTGCTCCCTCTCATAGGAGGGAAAAGGTTAAAAGGGGCTTCTTAGTTCTTGTGAACACAGAGTTCCATGATTTGGGCCCTGGGGCAGAGTGCATGGGCATGTCATTTATCGCCTGTTTGAAGTCATTTGGGGTCAGGGTAAACTCGGATAGGTTTTTTAATCAAATTTTTTGGCTTTCATAAAAAAAATTTATTTTGTCTTTGACTCTCATCTGGTTATATATATAATAATAGTCGTGCCGAAAATGTAAAAATCCAATTAGCAAGAACTCTTTAAAAAAAAAGTCCTTTTGAAATTTTCTCTTAAACGTTTTAAAGATGTATTTTTTTTTTATTTTGTTAATAAATTTTTTTTTAATTTTTCACCAAAAAAATCTTAGAAAACTTACCTAAACCTTATTTCAACAAGAGCAATTTTATTTTAGCCTAAACCCAATATAAAATATATTTTAAATATCGTTTACAATTAATTTAGTACTAAACCAGACACAATCAAATATATTTTTTTCGTTAGGGTTTCAGAATGTTTTGGCCGAAATTATTGCATACACAAAATTTTACTTGTCCTATTATGCAAGACGAGCGTTGCTATTTAAGCCAAGATGCAAGTTCTGCCTATTCGGCACGGAATATATATTTATATATATTTATATATTATATATATATATATATATATATATATATATATATTTATATATATATATATATATATAATATTTATATATATATAACTTTAACATTTAAGATAAACAATCTGTGAACTGAAACTATTTTTTTAATCCAAAATGATAATCTGTTATCTGAAAATAAACTTCTGTCTAGTATCAAAATATTGTTATTATTTGTTGTGAATCATTTTATTGTTAGGTAAAAGGACACAAGTGCAACTAATGTGACATTTTATTGTGGCCACGTCTTAATAAAGCTCCTGGAGAGCGAAACGTTGCCACAATAAAATGTCACATTAGTTGCACTTGTGTCCTTTTACCTAACATATTGTCGGTAATTCTACCAACATTAATACAATAATTTTATTATTAGATCGACGCTGTTAGTGTATAATGTTAAACAGATTTAATTTAGCAATACCTTTCCCTGTGAGTGATTAACAATAAACATTATATATGACAGGGCAATAGTAACTCAGCCTGACAGTGTTAATGCACCGCCTGACATATACATCCTCCAAGACAGCGGTATTAACGCTGACAGCATGAAGAATGATGGCATCTACAGCGGCTACATGACCAAGTTCTCTTCTGTTGGTCGCTACAACATTAAGGCAGAGGTACGACATTCAACATGGACTGGTTGCTATTCAGTGCTATTCTAAGGTTTCAAATATTTCTCAGTAATGAAACAAACAAACCCACATAGAGACCAATTTTTCACTCTCCTGTACTGCTGAAATTCTCAGGTGAGATCAATATATTGTGTGCAATATCTTGTTTACATTTACCTTCTGTCTCCGTGTAAGTTTTCTCAATTCATCGACAAGTGTCCACTATATTATGTTTCATGAACCCTCCCTCCCTAATATGCTTTCTCTACACGATATATGTTAGGCCCGTCATGGAACCCTCACCTGATCAAGCATGTACGAGAACTAGAAAAGGTCCAAAAGTTTGCAACAAGACCAGTCACAGAGCTGAGGGGGTTGAGTTTTCTAGAAACTCGAGGAACTAAACCTGACAAATTTAGAAGAAAAAAGAATTAGGGAAGACATGATCACGACATACACGACATTCAGAGGCTTTGACAAAACAGATAGGAGACAGACATTTTGAAATGAGAGACAGGGGTGAGAGGTCATAGATAAAAGCAAAGACACATATGAGCCTCACAGATGTTAAGAAATGCTTTTCAGTCTCAGGGTGGCAAATAAATAGAATTAGACGGATTGCGAAATGGGAAAACCTGATACATAAGATTCATGAGGCCCTGAACCGGTTATCCCGGCGATTGTGGTCTAAGAGGGGCCAGGAGCTGAGACTTGATTCTTACAACACAACTCGGTGAGTACATGTTGCAGTGGTGGATCAGCAAAACATTTCTGTAAAAATAAGTAAAACTTCTCAAAACTAGGAGTGCCAACATACCAAATGAATCAGTGCTAAACTAAACCAGGAAACTGAGCCACAATCATCTTACTTTTCTAAATATAACTAACAAAATTAAATACAGAAATCAAAAGCGTCAGCTCAGAAACATACATACGTGAATACCCTGTTAGGTGACATGCATACATCTGTTTAACAATTCGCAAACATGTGTGTACTCACCTAGTTGTGGTTGCAGGGGTCGATTCACAGCTCCTGGCCCCTCTTCACTGGTCGCTACTAGGTCACTCTTCCTGCTCCATGAACTTTATCATTCCTCTTCTTAAAGCTATATATGGATCCTGCCTCCACTACATCACATCCCAGACTATTCCACTTCCTGACAACCCTGTGACTGAAGAAATACTTCCTAACATCCCTGGAATTCATCTGAGTCTTCAACTTCCAATTGTGACCCCTTGTTGCTGTGTCCCATCTCTGGAACATCCTGCTTATCCACTTGGCAGATTCCTTAAATATTTTATATGTCGTTATCTTATCTCCCCTATCTCTCCTGTCTTCCAGTGTCGTCAGGTCGATTTCCTTTAGCATCTCCTCGTAGGACATACATCTTAGCTCCGGGGACTAGTATTGTTGCATACCTTTGCACTTCTCTAGTGATCCTTATTGTGCTTCGTTGGATTGTGGGTTCCAAACTGGGATGTACTCCATATGGGGCCTAACGTTCACTGTATTCACTTAGTTGTGCTCACCTAGTTGTAGTTGCAAGGGTCATGCCAATAGCTACCTAGCCGCTTTTTACTGGCCGCATTACTGGAGTCACACTCTCCCAATACATACTGTGTGTGTATTATGTATGTATCCGTTTCTTTCAACAAAACCAGCCGTATCCCACCGTAGGCCAGGGTAAGGCCCAAAAAGAAACACGAAAGGTTCTCTTTTTTTAATTGAGTACTGTATACAGGAGAAGGGTTATTAGCCCCCCTTGCTCCTCCCCTGCATTTTAGCGCCTCTTACGGACACACGCATGGCTTACGGAGGAAGAATTCTGTGCCCATTCCCCATATATATATATATATTTATTATATATATATATATATATATATATATTTATATATATATATTATATAAGTGACAGTATTTAGATAAGGCTAAAGAGGTATTGTGGCATTTATGGATTTGGAAAAGGCGTATGACAGGGTGGATAGGGGGGCAATGTGGCAGTGTTGCAAGTGTATGGTTGTTATGGAGGTAGGTTACTGAAAGCAGTGAAGAGTTTTTACGAGGATTTAGTAGGCTCAAGTAGAGTATGTAGGAAAGAGGGAAATTTTTTCCCAGTAAATGTAGGCCCTTAGACAGGATGTGTGATGTCACCGTGGTTGTTTATTATATTTGTAGATGGGGTTGTAAGGGGGTGTAAAGGGAAAAGTAAAATGCGAGGGTCTTGGCAAAGAGGCGTGGAGTTTAAAGATAATGAATCACACACAAAGTGGGAGTTGTCACAAGTGCTCGTTTGTGATGACACTGTAGATCCTTGCCCCCTTGGGGGAGATTCTGAGAGAGTTGCAGAGATTGGTGGATGAATTTGGTTTAGGGTGTGCAAAGAAGAAAATTAAAGGTGAATTACAGGAAAGAGTAAGGTTATGAGGATACAAAAAGATTAGGTGATGAAAGATTGGATATCAGATTGGAGGGAGCGAGTATGGAGGAGGATGAAACGTATTCAGATATTTGGGAAGTGGACGTGTCAGCGGATTGTGGTCTATGGAAAGATGAAGTTGAATCTGAATTGATGAGGGAAAAAGAGTGAGTGGTGCCACTTAGGAGTCTGTGGAGACAAAGAACCTTTGTCCTTGGAGGCAAGAGGGGAATGTTTGAGAGTATAGTTGTACGAACGCTCTTCATATGGGTGTGAAGCATGGGTGATGAATGTTGCAGCGAGGTAGAAGGCTGGAGGCAGTGGAGATGTCCATGTCTGGAGGGCAATGTGTGGTGTGAATATAATGCAGAGGAATTCGTAGTTTGGAAGTTAGGAGGAGGTTCGGGATTACCAAAACTGTTGACCAGAGGGCTTGAGGAGGGTGTTGTTGAGGTGGTTCGGACATGTAGAGAGAATGGAGCGACAACAGAATGACTTCAAGAGTGTATCAGTCTGTAGTGGAAGGAAGGCGGGGGTAGGGTCGGCCTAGGAAAGGTTGGAGGGAGGGGGGTAAAGGAGGTTTGTGTCGAGGGGCTTGACTTCCAGCAGGACATGCGTGAGCGAGTTTGATAGGAGTGAAAGGAGACACAAATGGTTTTTATATTTGACGTTGCTGTGGGAGTGTGAGCAAAAGTAACATTTATGAAGGGATTCAAGGGTAACACGGCAAACAGGCCGGACTTCGAGTCCTGGAGATGGGAAGTTACAGTGCATGCCACTCTGAAGGAGGGGTGTTTGTAATGTTGAGTTTTAAAAACTGTAGTGTTAAGAACCCTTTGGCAAGACAAGTGGTGGAGTGAATGATGGTGAAAAGTTTTTCTTTTTCGGGCCACCCTTAATTGGTGGGAATCGGCCAGTGTGATAATAAAATAAAAAAATATATATATTGCGAACAATCGCAGACAGGCGATCTTAACTATGCAAGACAAGCCACAGGGGGGTGAAAATCTTTAGTTCAAGTACTTTCGTACTTCTCAGTGCGTCATCAGGTGCCGTTGCAATGTTGGCAAGGTTGCAAATGAAGGACTGAGGGGAAAGTAGTTTTTCTCAGAATAGCCATAGAGTTAGAGCTAAAAGAAAAAAGTAGCAATATGTTGAAGGATAAGCTATGGCAGGAAAAGAGGGACTATAAATGTATTAATTCAAGGATTATGTGGATTAAAATAAAGGTTGGATGTGAGAAGTGGGTTATAGTAAGCGTTTATGCACCTGAGGAAGAGAGAAGTATAGAAAGGAGAGAGAGAGAGATTTTGGGAAATGTTGAGTAATTGCGTGGGGAGTTTTGAACCAAGTGTGAGAGTACTTGTGGTTGGGGATTTTAATGCTGAAGTGGGAAAAAATGTTGTAGAGGGAGTAAGTAGTAGGTAAATTTGGGGTGCCAAGGGTAAATGAAAATGGGGAACCTTTAATTGAGCTATGTATAGAAAGAGGTTTGGTAATAATACATATTATATGAAAACGAGGATAAATAAATATACAAGGTATGATGTAGCACGTAATGAAAGTAGTTTGTTAGATTATGTTTTGGTGGATAAAAGGTTGATGGGTAGGCTCCAGGATGTACACGTTTATAGAGGGGCAACTGATATATCGGATCATTATCTAGTTGTAGCTACAGTTAGAGTAAGAGGTAGATGGGATAAGAGGAAAATGGCAACAACAAGTAAGAGGGAGGTGAAAGTGTATACACTAAGGGAGGAGGAAGTTTGGGTGAAATATAAGCAACTATTGGCAGAAAGGTGGGATGGTGCAGGTATGAGTAGTGGGGGGGTTGAAAAGGGTTTTGGGAAAAGTTTTAAAAAAGCAGTATTAGAATGTGGGGCAGAAGTTTGTGGTTATAGGAGGGTGGGGGCAGGAGAAAGAGGAGTATTGGGGGAATGATGAAGTAAAGGGGGGTGAAAAAAGAAAAAAGGTAGCTTAGGGAGAGGTTTTTTACAAAGCGAAGTTTTTATAAAAGATGGGAGAATATGGAGAGTAAAAGAAAAGGTGAAGAGAGTGGTGAAGAGTGAAAAAAGGGAAAAGGCGGATGATAGGTGGGAGGGGTTATGTAAAGGGAAAATTTTTTAATAAAAATAAAAAAAAATTTTTTGGGAGTGGTTAAACAATTTAAAAGAAAGCTTAGAAACAAATGGTTTTCCCTTTAAAAAACAGAAAAGGGGGATTTGAAAAGTTTGGGGGAGTGGGGGTTTTTGGGGTAGAGGCGAAATTTTTTGGGGAAAATTTTCTAAATTTTTCCCCGAAAAAAGAAAGGGGGGGCGAAAATTTAGCACGGGCCCTGGGGGGTATATCATCTTTTCGGAGTGAAGAAGAGCAGGATTTTGAGTGTGGGGGAGGTGCGTAAAGGCATTACGTAAAAAAAGGGGGGTTTTAAAAAGCAGCTGGAACTGACGGGATCTTTTGACGAATTTTAAAAGAAGGGGGGGACATAGTTTGGGGAGGGGTTGGAAATTTTTTTTTAAAAAATGTTTTAAAGAGGGGAAGGTACCGGGGGATTGGGGGAGGCGTGTATAGTTCCTTTATAAAAAGGGAAAGGGGGGACAAAAGAGATTTGAAAAAAATTATAGAGGAAT